CCGGGAGGCCGAGGCGCGGAGCGAACCGGGCCGGGTCGCGTGGGGGTCGCGAGGATCCAGAGTTGGGCCGGGTGGAGCGGTGACTCGGAAAGCTCAGGATCCCAAGGAGACAGAGAGGACAAGAGCTGAGAGGCATCCGGAGAGCGGCGGGGAGCGCCAGGGAGGGAAAGGGTGGAAAATAGGGGACGGTCCTGGTGGGGAGCCTGGAGAGCGGGCGGGACTCGCGGCCGGAGCTCGGAGGGGGTCCGGGGACAGAAATGGGCGAGGCAGCGCGCCGTGGAAGCTGTGAGCGGTCTGGTTAGTTGGTAAGACCCGGAGGTGTTCAAGTTCCGAGTCGTGTGAGGGCTGGGCGGGGAGGAGCGGTCTCGGGGGAGGCCTGGGGGTGGGCAGCTGGTGCAGGAGGGCGGGGCTGCGATCTGAGCCAGGTGGAGAGCGGGCAGGTAGAGGGGCGCATGAGACGACGGGCAAGTGGGCTGAAGTGTGAGGCTGGTGTGAAGACGTGAAGCAGGATCCGGTGGAGGCGGGGAAAGTGTGGTGGGCAGCATCTCAGGAGTGAGGCGAGCACAGGCTGAGGGTGGCCACGAGGTGAGCGTGTGCAGGGGAGGGAACCCTAGGCCGGGTCAGGGCAGTGTCCTCCCCCATGAGGGAAGCCCCTCCCTGGGGTCCCTGAAACCATGCTGTCCCGCAAGGGCATCATCCCTGAGGAGTACGTGCTGACACGGCTAGCAGAGGACCCGGCCGAGCCCCGGTACCGCGCCCGAGAGCGGAAGGCTCGCTTTGTGTCCAAGAAGGGCAACTGCAACGTGGCCCACAAGAACATCCGGGAGCAGGGCCGCTTCCTGCAGGACGTGTTCACCACACTGGTGGACCTCAAGTGGCCGCACACGCTGCTCATCTTCACCATGTCTTTCCTGTGCAGCTGGCTGCTCTTTGCCATGGTCTGGTGGCTCATCGCCTTTGCCCATGGTGACCTGGCCCCTGGTGAAGGCACGTCGGTGCCCTGTGTTACCAGCATCCACTCCTTTTCATCTGCCTTCCTTTTCTCCATCGAGGTCCAGGTAACCATCGGTTTTGGTGGGCGCATGGTGACAGAGGAGTGCCCGCTGGCTATCCTGATCCTCATTGTGCAGAACATCGTTGGGCTCATGATCAATGCCATCATGCTGGGCTGCATCTTCATGAAGACTGCCCAGGCGCACCGGCGGGCAGAGACACTCATCTTCAGCAAGCACGCGGTCATTGCTCTGCGCCATGGCCGCCTCTGCTTCATGCTCCGCGTGGGCGACCTCCGGAAAAGCATGATCATCAGTGCCACCATCCACATGCAAGTGGTACGCAAGACCACAAGCCCCGAGGGCGAGGTGGTGCCCCTCCACCAGGTGGACATCCCCATGGAGAACGGTGTGGGTGGAAACAGCATCTTCTTGGTGGCTCCACTCATCATCTACCACGTCATCGATGCCAACAGCCCGCTCTACGACCTGGGACCCAGTGACCTGCACCACCACCAGGACCTCGAGATCATTGTCATCCTGGAAGGTGTGGTAGAAACCACGGGCATCACCACCCAGGCCCGCACGTCCTATCTGGCTGACGAAATCCTCTGGGGCCATCGCTTTGTCCCCATTGTGACGGAGGAAGATGGCCGCTACTCTGTGGACTATTCCAAGTTTGGCAACACCATTAAAGTGCCCACACCGCTCTGCACAGCCCACCAGCTCGATGAGGACCACAGCCTGCTCGATGCCCTGACTCTCGCCTCGGCCCGTGGGCCTCTGCGCAAGCGCAGTGTGGCTGTGGCCAAGACCAAACCCAGGTTTAGCATCTCTCCAGATTCCCTGTCCTGAGTCTGGGAGTCCACCGTTCATGTGGGCACTTCGGCAGTGTGTTGTGGTATGTAGAGTGGGCGAGGTGTGGGCCCCCTGGCCAAGCAAGAGCCTGGTATGAAGATGGACCCTCCTCAGCTCAGCCTCCCGCTGCTGCGTGACTAGGGTATTACAAGGCACTTGTCACTATGCTATTTCTGGACTCAGCAGGAGTCTATACTAGGTTATTTTTGTCCCTACTCCTCCCAGCCCCGGCTCAGGACTTCCTTGCCCCTCTTTCCCTGCCCAGTGCTGGGGAGGCTGTGGGAATTGCTGGACCCTAAAGTTGGGTGTGAAGCCAGTCCTGGTCCCCATAATTGGCCTCCCTCAAGCAGAAACGCTGAGGAAAAACAACCCCTGGTTTGGGGATCTGCTGCTCTGTTTCTGTGCCTGCGAGAAACCAGGCTGCAGGCCTCCTTGGTCTCTGAAGAAGTGATGGGCTAAGGGGTGGGCCTAACCAGTCAGGGAGAGTGAGACAGAGACTTCTGTGTGCACACAGAGACAGCTGGAGGCTGGCAGGCTCAGGCCAGAGAGGGGATGCAGCCAGGCAGGTGGCGGGTGTGTGACGTGAGGAGGCTTTGGCGATTGCTGCCAGGGCTTTGAAAGCAGAAGATGGACCCGGCTCCCCACCTTTCATCCCTAACACCAGGCTTCTGTAAAGAGAGCTCTGTAGGATGGGGCTGCTAGTCCCAGTCAGTCCCCACCCTGAGAGGCTGGAGTGGACTGGGAAGACCCTGACAAGATGAGCAGACAGAGACTGAGGTGAGGGGTCTCATGTCAAACCACATATAATAGGCTGCAGAAGGAACTTCACTCCTGGCTCACCAATGAAAGCTGAGACTTGCATTGCTGTTCAGCAGGAGGCTGGGGTGGAGGTGGGGAGACAACTTTTGGTTGCTGGAAAAAGATGTTGGAAAATTAAGGGTACTAGGGTGGATGGGTCCCCAAGATGAAGAGACCCTTGGGTCTGACCTCAGCCTGGACTGTCCTTGCCCAGAATTCTGCCTCCCACACTGTCAATAAAGCCTGCCCCTCCACAACCTCAACTCTGGGCTGTTCTTGCTGGGGAGGCCTTGAGCGTGTTGGTGGAAAGGGAAGGCAGAGGCTAGCAGCTGTCATTCCGTGTTCAAGACATGCCGTGGCCCTAGCAGGGAGGTGAAGAAAGGCATGTCTTCCCCCACTGAAGGGGACTTTGCCCCTCAGACCCAGCCTGTTGCTTGATCATCTCTGCTCTGGGCATCCACAAGGCTCAGTAACCTGGGCCCTGCCTCCCTCCCAGGGCCTCGCTGGAAGGCTGAGGTACCCGGGGAGAGAGGGGTGGGATATCATAGACCTTAGGGTCAAGAGTGGAAGGCGAGCTCTCCGGCCACCTGCCTGGGTTCCAATCCCACCTCTAGCTGTATGCCTTGGTCAAACACCCTCTCTGTGTCAGCTGCCTCATCATGCTAATGGTGCCCGCCTCAGAGAATAGGGGTGGGAGTGAGAAGCACATGTGAAACGCTGCAGTGCCTGGTCTAGAAGTGCTTCGTACAAACAAGCCATGGCGACTGCTGAGGACTCGGCCACACGGGGAGCAAACTGACCAAGCAAACATTAGGAGAGAAAGTGCTTTCGTCTACTAGGTTCCCCTCACCCATGCTTTTCTCTGCCTGCTCTAACTTTCCACACTGTGTCCCTCCCGGCTCAGTCCAGGATCACAGGGGCTGTGGCAGTGCCTGTTACCTGGGTCCTTGTCTCCACCTGGCCCCCTACGGCCCATCTGCCACGCAGCCAGCACAGCGGTCTTACAAGGGCTGTGAGCCTTTCCTCCCATGTGCACCCTTCAGGAGTCCCCATCACCTTCTGAGTTCAAGGCAGACTTCTCAGGCAGCCACCTCAGGCCCTCACTGCCTTCCTACCCTGGAACTCCCATTCTCTTGCCAGCACCGTGTGCACCCACCACCTACTTCCTGACTGCCTTCCTCATTGGAGCGTGATACTGAGCCTCCTGCCTTGGAGACTTTGCTTGTGTCACTCCTTTCCCTGGACAGTCCAGGCCTCGTATCTGTTGAAATCTATAGAAGTCTAGGCTAATTCATGCCTCCTGGAAGCCCTCCCTGATATCTCTGGGGAGAGATGGTCCCTTCCCTCCTCTGTGCTATTGGTGTTCTTTACCTGTGTTGAAGACTCTGTCTTGCTGTCCTCAAGTTCTCAGCTCCTGGAGGCTTCAAGACAGTGTCTGACCAAGCAGTGAACCTGCCACTGAGTAGGTGCAGAGCAAATGAGTGAGGGGAGGATGGCTGGATAGATGGATGGTGTTCAAGACCACAATGGCAGTGAAGCCTTCAGTGTGCTTTGGCCAATCAGTGAGTCTGTCTCAGGTGCTCCAGAGGCCAAGCTAAGGGGTCAGGAAGTTGCCGCTGCGGGTCTGAGCACTAAACGTTGCCTGCCTCTAGGGTCCAGCATTGATTCCCTTCCTTGTAAAGCTGACCCATTTCTGATGTGGAGGGAGAAGAGCTGAAAAGCTACTCAAAGTCTGGCCAGGATTCTGGGGACCTGGCTGGTTGGACTAAGCTTGGCTTCCCCTAAAGGCACACAGAGGAGCCAGAGTTGCTAATGAGGGGCCATTCAGCATCAACATCTTTGGAGTCCCATCCAGAATAAGCTTCCTCCAAGTCCTAGGGATTTCTTTTCTGACCTGTGACAGGCTGAAGGCTGCAGAAGGCTGAAGGCTGCAGAACTAAGGGGTCAGAGCCACCTGCTGCCCTAAGTGAGAACTACATGATCTCAGAAAATCAAGGCTGCAGGACCTGAAATTTCTACTCACTCCACTTCCAGCCTTAAGGCTCAGCTCAGGAAGCAGCTGGAAAGTTCTGTGGTTGAAAGGCTGGAAGGACCACATCCTGCCTGTGCCCAAAGATCCAGAGAAAAAGTATAATTCAGGAAGCCCCAAGGCCGCCCAGAGGGACATCACTGGCTCTCTATGATCCAGGTCTGTGATGAGGCCTCCTTCTTCCCCGTTCTTTCTCACAAGGACCAGGGCCCTTGATTTCAGTGACGGGCATTTTGCAGTCTCAGGGGACACAGCTACCATTTCTCAGTCACTAACTCACACGGAATTCTGAGAAAGGTGCTGGGCCCGTCCCATGTCAGGAAGCCAGGCTATCTCTTTCCGTGGGGAAACTGCTAGTTTGGAATAATTAGCCCCCTTAGCCCTACTGAAAACCTGCATGGACCACATCCCTCTGGACTGGCATCTTCAGCCCCTCTCAGGCCCCTCACAGGCACCTCAGCCCTTTCTGCTGGCTCACCCAGATCTCCCTGCAGGTGGCATCCTTCCAGCCCTGCCCTTCTCTGAAGCTCCTCCCTGTTTCTTTTCCTGGGGACAATTTTCCTTGAGAGCTTACAGCCACAGCGGAGGAGGATCCTGGCCTCTCACAGCTGCCAGGCTGCCCAAGGCCTCTGAGGTTTTCCCGGGCCCAGGCATCAGACGTGCAGATGACTTTGGAAAGGAGATGGGAATTCCACACATCAAAGTGGTGCTGTCCCCAGACTGGGAAAGCCCTGAAAAAAAACCACATAACCACTCCAAGTTGGGAGGGGCAGGGAAAGGAGGAACAGTGAGAATGAAGCCAGGCTGGGACCACAAGTGGGGTCGGCTGTATTATTTTACTGGAGTCGAGATTATCTGAGCCTCTCTGCCAGGCTGAGCCACCTGGGGCTCTCAGGATCCTCATGAGCAAGGAGGTGGGTGCTTGCTACGCCTCATTCTAATTCTGCTCATGGCAGGCCCAGCTCTGGAGGGTCCTGAAGGGCAGGCTCAGAGACCAGCCACCTGGCTTCCCACGCATGAACTCCCGCCTTTCCCTGACTGACCTCCATTTCTTCCAAGCCTTGATGTTAGTGAGTGGAACGCATGATAGAAAGTGCCCATCTGACTGCAGGATACATTATCTTCCCTGGGAGAAGCAGCAGGGTAGAGGTGGGCAGCACAGGTCAGCACCACCCAACAGCTACCCTCAGTTCACAGCTCTAGTTACCCCTCTTCCACTAGTGAGGCAGCTCTTCTTCAGGAAACCTCTTTCTTTGCAGCACAAGTATGTCCCAAAGTACTCCCCAGACCATCAACACCCCAGCTGAAGCAAAGCAGACTTTGCCTGTGCCTCTCTTTATTCTCTAGGTCATAGGAAATAATGCCAGGAGAAGACAAAGGGTAACTTCAGCTGAGAGAGAAGTAAACAGAACCAACGCTTTTATCAATGCCAGCTGTGCCCTCCTTTTCCCAGCCATCTTGGAAGGGGAATGAAAATCATTCCTAGGGGGCTGGAACACAGTCTGTGGTGGAGCAGGTAGTCTTGGTTCTTGGGAAAAGCCATGCAGTTGGATGCTCATGCTCTGAAGGGGTCCCCGCGGTGTGTCTGTGTGGGAGACAGCCACTGTCCGCCTGAAGGAAGCCGCAGAAGCACCACGGCCCTCGGTATGCACCACTGGCTCCCCTAGTTCCGTGTGGGTCCTGTGGGAAGCAGCTTTCACAAAGGGGTCAGAAGTGAAGAGGGCTCTTCCGGGCAATTCGGAGAAACATAAAGGGCTGGGGAGGGGACAGGATGGTGACCATGATGCAGGAGAACTGGGAAGGGACTGCAGCATTTATTGCCTTCACTGGGAAGCAACAGTGTACAGGTGAGCGGTGCCATCATCACCACCCCACAGCTTTCCCCAGTTCACAGCCCCAGTAAACTGTTTCCTACTAATCCAGACCCTCCTGTCAGCAAATGACGTGCACATCAAAATCACGTTGTCACTAGACAATCTGAAGAACCATATCTACTCCAGCCTGGAGGGAGGTGGGCAAAGGAAGAGCAGTGATATTAATGAAGGACTGGTACTAGAAGTGTGTTTTGTTACAGTGCAGTTGAGATTAAACACGACCTCTTTGCAGGATGAACCACCTGGGGCATTGAAGATCCTCATGGGAAGGGAGACAGCTTCTTTCTACTCCTCATCCTAGTTCTGCTCAGGGAAGGCCCAGTTCTGGAGTGATGGTGATATAGGGCACCAACTAATCTAAATAATTTAACTAGGGAAAAATTATAATTCTCAACCTGCTAGATGTCTGAAACACCAAGTTCATGTTCTCTAAAATCGGAGAATGAATTCTAGGAACAGCAGAGTTAAGAGTAGGGAATATTGGCCTCCCCTGCACAACAAGGAGGCCCCACCGCAGACCCCGGACACCCAGAGGGAGCTGGTGGAGCTCGTGAAGTGGAAGCGGGAGCTGGCAGAAACACCGGCAAACTTGGAGAGACAGATCTATGTTTTTGAAGGAAGCTACCTAGAAGATACTCAGATGTATGGCAATATTATTTGTGGCTGGCATCGGTATCTGACCAATAAAAACTCCAATAGCAAAATGACCAAAGGAACCGGAAGTTTAAGGAAGCCAAGCAGCTCTTCAGTAAATATTTATTTTTTTTCTTTTTGTACCCAAAATTGAACTTGGGTCCTTGCGCTTTCCAGGCAGGCGGCAGAACCACTGAGCTAAATCCCCAGCCCTCTTCAGTAAATCTTCTGTTACATGGGCAGCTGCATTAAGTGCATTGGCAGGAGCTCAGGTCCAGCTCATTGCAAAGTGGAGCCAGGAAGTGGGACGAAAAGTCATACTTCTCCATACTTCCACAATCAGGGAAACGAGCCCAACCAGGAAGAACCTGAGGATCTGGATGGATCTGTTCAGGGAGTGAAACCTCAGAAGCCTGCTTCTTCCACTTCCTCAGGGAGTCATCATAGCAAACATTAAAAAATGAAAGAATAAAAACTGGCACAGGTATATATATTAGGTTAGGCTGGGAAGTTTAAAAAACCGAAAAACACGATGGAGGATTGATCCGAAGTTAAACAAAAAACCACGAGCCATTAGAAGACTCATAGTAAGGAAGCGTCCAGGTTGTAGAGCCAGCTTCCCTTCTCCCACCTCACACGGATAAACATCCCTCATCTGAGCACGTGCCCTCCTCTGCTCTCCCAGACCTAGTGCCTGTGGCTCTGAGTAGTTTGTTCTAAATGTGATGTCACTTCTGTCAGACATTGCATTGTCTTTCTTAGAAGCAGAACTTCGGGGACACCGAGGTGTGCTTGTGATCCCCACGTTGCTCTCTGTGTGTTTCTCCCTTAGAATGAATGTCTCCCCCAAACTGGCCGGCCCCAGCTCCACCTGTGAACTCCACTGAGATGCACTCTCGGATTTTGTATTATGCTGAAGGTAGACCACAAGTCACATTTCTGATGTAGGCTATAAATACCTGGCATTTCTCTTACTTTATTTTGTTTAATTATTTTCCTATTGTTTTTACCATCTTTATTTTCTTCCTGGGACTTTTTGTAATGCTGTTGTACAGATCATTCCTTCCTGCTGACATATCTGATGATCTCTTTCATGCAATTGCCAATGTTAACTGAAAATAGTTTGGTTTACTATAAGTAAATTGGGAAACTTGGCTCAGTGGTTTTTTGCAGGGGGAAGGTAAAGAGTGTTTATTTAATAATTACCTATCTTGGCCGGGGATTTAGCTCAGCAGTTCGGTGGCCTGCCTTGCAAGCGCAAGGACCCAAGTTCAATCCCCGGTAAAAAAAAAAAAAAAAAAAAATTACCTATCTTAAATATCTCTGAGTTGGAAGCAGTTTTGTGTTCAAGGAGCAGAAAAACTAAAAACCATAAGTTTAAATCAATCCTTTTAAGAGATACTTTTATTCTTTTGTATAAATAAAATTCATAGGTTTTGACTTCTCATGCTTTACTTTTAAACCTGAAAAAAAAAGTGGGAATATTGTTTGAGGGAAAGGAGCAAAGCCATGAAGTGAGGCAGGTACATAGTAGGACAAAACTATAGTCAACTGATATAATCCAGTGGAAAATCCCAAGGTGGGCATGCAGTGGGTCAAAACCATGATCAACTAGTAAGATTACAGGTACAGTGGCTTAGAATATTGATTAAATGGGGATCAAATGGGGAGAAAAGACACATAGCAAGCATGCATGGAATGAGTAATGATTTACCAGAAGGGATGGCCCAGGGAGGTTTTGGTCCCCAGCTAAGGTGATTGATGCCTATTTAGAATTTCAATCAGTTATTTACCTCTAGGGGAAGGATGTGAGTGTAGTAGTTCTTCTGAGTCTTGGCCTTGAGTAGATGGGCCTCAATGGTCTGTACTGACTACTTTGAGGGCCCAGCCCTTTCTCACTGCCTATAATGTATCTAATTAGCTTAGCTACTGTAATATTGGAAAGGTCAGGTTGCCCAGGCCAGCCCACCTGGGTCCCTGGGGATGATCTGCCTTTATCTGATGTCAGTTCCTTCCATGCCTGGTTGCTAATGAGTACAACATGTGATACAAAATACACATCTGACTTGCAGGATACATTATGTTCACTGGGAAACAGTGGCATACAGGCGAACAGTAGGAGTCAGTACTACCAACAGCTTTCACCAGCTTACAGCCCAAGTAAACTGTTTTCTGCTAATCCTAAACCTTATCAGCAAACGATCTCATTCTTTGAAGCACAAATAGCTCCAAACTCCTCCTAACCAGACCACGAACACTTCAACTGAAGCAAAGCAGACTTTGTGTAGCCCTGGGATGGGGGAAGAGGAAGCAACAGAGCCCCTACTGTGGGTCCTGGCCTCCTGTGAGCCATTATAACACAAGGCTAAAGAATAAAGACAGGAAACAAAATTTAAGAGAGAAGCTGGGTCTCGGGGCCTGATTAATGCTACTCTGGGCAATAAAGACAAAGGAGCCAAATGCATCCAG